CTGCGCCCAGTGCAGGTCCTTACCTGTCCAGGTCTGGGCACAGTCCTCAGCTTCTCATCAGCAGGGCTGCCCGGAACGTGTCCTTGGCACCAGTTCTACTGGCAGAGCTGGCGCAGCTGCCGGATGGCAAACGTTGCTAGCTGCCATCAGCACCAGGCAGGGAGGAAACGAGGAGCTCCTTCTCCACTCGTAGCCAGGTGAGGGGACCAGGGTGCTGGGACGACCATCTGCATGGGGGAGGTGAGCAGCTCTCCACCTGCTGCAGGAGCCGCCGGAGCCCAGCAGCGGGAGGCAGGCTGCGAGGCCAGCGACGGAGCCCAGGCGGGTCTCTCTGAGTCACCGTCAGAAACCAGCCTCCGAGTGTCTGCCTCCCTGCCTGCTTGCCGCGCTTCAGTGGGGAGCCGCCTTCCTCCCCCTGCCTGAGTCATGGAGACAAGCCCCCCACCTCTGGCAGGCGCCAAGGAATCCGTCTTCAGCAGGCGGCAAGGCAGAAACCCCTTTCTCCTGGGGATCCGGCTAGCTTGCCTTCTGGGCACACGACGGCCTGGCTTTCGACTGGTCCAATACAAAACCTCTCCCCCGTAGCTGAGAGCTGGGGCGAAGGCTCCCTGCACGTGGGTGCCAGTGCCCCAGCCTTGCGTTGCAGAGAGGGGGCCTCTTATAACCCGTCCCCATCCCACAGGCGTAGCATGAAGACCCCAGCCCAGGAAGTCATTGAAGTAACTCTTCTGCTTTAATGCACCAATTGCCACAAGCTGAAACACAGCATCCTTTCCTGCCTCTTTCGGTGTCCCAAAGCATCTCACCAAGATGGCTTGTTGTTAGGGCTTTGAATGGCTTAGCCTTCTTATCCTGAGGGGGGCTCCAGCATTTAGCACACATACCAAATTGCCCTGGAGTTTCTTCTTCTGTTCGTTTTCATTGCAAAACCATGAGTTGTCTTCTCATCGTACCAGGTAGACCAGAATGGTATTGATACGGGAACTCAACCTGCACTTTTCTCTCCATATGGGACCTGCGTGTTCAGCCTGGCTCTCGCTGCATGTGGGATCAATGTCCCTAATTAGTATCATATTCTGTCCCGCCTACCAAGTGCCCCTCCCCTCCCCTGCACGTAGTACTCAAGTAGGTGGGGCATAAAGTCAAGATGGGGTCTGGAACTGTATGATCAAAGCCCTGCCCCTTTCAAAAGGGGCGGGGTTTCAATCATGCAGTCACAACCACTATCTTGATTTCTTTTTACCCCCCACTCTGTAGGAGGTTAGTTTAGGGAAGCCCATGTTATACTGGGGAGCACAACCATCTCAGATTTCCATCCAAATCCCCGTTCACAACCCAAATGCCCTCCCTCCATTTTAAAGAAAGGCCTGGAGGCTTGAAATGTATGCTGCTTTAACACTCCTTTTCATCTGCTTCAGAAAGGTTTCACAAAACTGTACCACAGGAACAGGCCGACAGAGAAAGGAGTTCTGTTAAATTCCTCCAAACGTTCCCAACAAGGGTTTGTTCTGAAGGTCATGGAATTGTATCCTAGATTTCCACCCCATCACTGAGCAATTCCAGACCCCAGTGAAGTGGACACTCCCTCGTCCCCACGTTGTGGCTTCAACGGAGATGGGATGCCTCCTGGAAGATTTCTTTTTTTGGTTGGAAATATCGCAACCAACCCCTGGAATCCCAACAGGTGGCAACATCTGAGCAACATCTGGCCTTGGAAACTAAAGCCGAGTGAGGCCTAGTTGATGCTTGGGTGGGGCTTTGGACTAGACCAGAGAGTTGAAGCTGGCCAGTCACATCTGCATTGATGCTCAGAAAATGGGATGTTTGTGTCCCTGAAGCCACAGGAGTCATTTTATTGCTCTAGGAGATGCTGGCTTGTAATAAGCACTCCCTTTTCCATGAAGATATATTACAATGCTTATGTCTTCCAGTCTCATCTACCTCCTTTGCAAAGCTTCTTTAAGTGCACATCAAGCTTTGTCTGAATTCGTGCAACGCCCAGCCGAGTTACGATAGTTTGCGGTTCAGCATCCTGGGGGACAATAGCCACTTTCTTAACATGCTGGCTGAGCCAGCATCCTGCTAACTGGAAAGATGGCTTCCTTTGGCCCAGCATGTGGTGTGAACGCAGCCATTACTTATTCTGAACCTGGGTTTAGGGTGAAGCATGTGACAGGAACCAATCTGTAGAAGTGGGCGCGGGTGGCCTCTCGCCTGCAGGAGAAGATGAGCCCAGCCCTGCCTCTTGGAAAATGTTGGAACTGGGAGTTTGCTCACCCAACTCAGTGAGCTGAGGAACCATCTGAAGAAGATCCAGAGAGAGAGAAACATCAGCCTCCTGGCACAGTTTCTGGGTGGCCGTGCACTGACCCGTGTCTCATTTGGAATGGAAAGATTTGGCAGGGTCAGCCAATGCAGACAGCAAGGAAACCGCGGGGTTGGGAGACCAGCGCTCGTTGCTAGGGGTGGGGGGACCGAGGCACTGTTGCTGAGAGGCTGATCCCACTGGGTGGGGCGGGGGGAAAGGAAAGAGGCCGGCTCCCTGTTGCCAGGATACTCCTGTTGTTGGGAGAAAGGGGAGGCGGGGCTTGTTGCTACGGCGCCGCCGTGAAGCTTTGGGGTGACATTCCTAGCAACAGAGGATGAGCCCCTGACCACTCCCTGGTACCCTTCCCAGTTCCTCTGCAGGGTGTGTGATTGGTCCAGGGCGCATCACCAAGCAACCGTTGCCACGAGATTCCAGGCATGGCGACTATGGCAACGCATCGGTCATCTCCTAACGCCAGATTCCTAACCTCCCCGGTGCCTTTACCAAGGCACCCTACAACCAGGCAGGATGAAATGAGGGGGGTCCGGCCACGGGGAGGTAACCAGTCAAGGGGCAAGTCTTTCAGTTCAGCTTCTCCAACCTGGCGCCCGCCCAGTCAGAAGCCACTGCAAATCTTAGAATTCCCTGCCGGCACGTTGCGATCTGCCATAGGTAATACAAAAGGGGTCTTCTTGGACCGAGCAGAGATGGGAGCAGGCAGGTTGGGGAGCAACTAGGAGAGCTTATAAGGTGGGGGGGGCGTGGGGAGAAGTGGAAGGGCGCCTGGAGAGGAGGGGGGAGATATCAGATGTTGCATCAGCAAGGATCCTCAGTAACGGCTGGATTGAGGGGCGGTGGGGCTGGTCCCATACGGGGGGCTCTAGGTTAAGGATGGTCAGAGCCGAAGAAAAATCCATGAACATCAGGGGGGATAAGGATTGCAGTCATGCAACTGGCTTAATTCATGTACTGGATTAACACATATTCTGGGTTTGCACCATACCATAATCCAGGGTTTCTCAACCTTGGCCACTTGAAGATGTGTGGACTTCGACTCCCAGAATTCCCCAGCCACCATGAATTCTGGGAGTTGAAGTCCACACATCTTCAAGTGGCCAAGGTTGAGAAACACTGCCATAAACTAACCAACTGGATTAGCTGGTGCGTTCATGCAATAAGGACCACATGCATGCGGACATACACATACCATCTAACCATGGTTAAAACTGACCAAGCCTTTCCTGTACTGAGCAAATACAGCTCTTGGGTCTTTAACTACCTCGGGCAAGCAGGCATGCAAACCCTGCCAAAGACCTCGAGAGCTCAGCTTGGAGGCCATTCCTTGGGCCCCCAGCCCCTTTCCCCCACGAGAAAGGGACCCCGATCAGAACGGCTCCAACTGACGCGGTCTCTATCTTTGTGAGTCTTCCCCTCGCGCTTTCAAAGGGGGAAGATTTGCCTAGTGGTGATGCCCTGGGTCTTGCCCATCCCAGCTGGGTACAGCAGTGCAACAAGACAGGGCAACGGAGGTGCCTGCTTCGGGAGGCTCCAAGCGGACTGGGCATGCTTGGGGCAAATTCCCACCCAGGCTTGGCTACCCCCACCCGAAAGGCAGGATGCTCCCTTCTGCCCAGAGCCCCCTATCTGCTACCCTGCCGGCTCCACAATAGCTCTGTTGCCACCAGTCAATTGGGCGATGCCAGTGCCCTGTTGCCTTGGCGACAGCTTCCTCTCGGGGATGCTGGTGATGTCAGTGGGATGCTGCTGGCTCGGGCATTTTCGAAGGAAGCTTTCGGAATGGGGGGCTGAAACAGGCTGGCTGAGGGATTTCTCCCCGTAATTTTAAAGATTTATGGGGCAAATAAAAATACAACCAGTTCATTAAGAATGATGGATTCTTAATTATGATTCACTCCTTGGCGAATGCGTTTATGGATCTCTTTGATCTCTGAGGCTGAGAGCAGCCCAGACTGCAGATCTAATAAAGCTAAGCACTGCTACCATTCTGTCTGTGTTTTTAAGTACCGCCATAAGCGGTTTAGACCTATAAACGATTGCATCTGACCAGCCAAAAGGAGGATAACAGAGTGCCAATAATCCAGAATGGATTTCTTACGAATCGTTTCGTTTCTTAGCCATCTTTTGTTTTCTATTGTTTTCATCTGTTCGGTTCATTGTTTGGTGAAAACAGCCCCCGGCGTTTGACATGTTGACGCTTGCTAAGCAACAATTCCCCCGTTTAATTCCTGAAGAGCCACAAAAATATGCGCCATTCTAAAAATAAAAGAGAGAATCAGGAAGGGGAGGAAGGAGAAGATCGGAAAGGCACGGGAAGAGGGCA